ACAGATACACACTGTAAACCAGCTAATGTACCTAAATACTTTAGTCAAAACATTACAATACTTAAGACTGAAGCAAACTACAAGATGTGACACTACTGTATTGTTTCTAGTGTTGTAGCTACATGCTTCAAACACTTACTAAAGGATGAACTGTAGAACAAAGCTAAGAGGGAGATGGCTAAGACTATTCATACATGTATAGTTAATAACATTGTCAACACAATATTAGCAAACTATATACACTTTAATACATCTATTCCTCAGTTAATGAAAGCACTTAAAGAACACTTTAACCCTTAGATAGTATGTAAAAAGGCTATTAACAAATCAGTACTGTTTATTTGTAGAGACTATGTAAAACATTTCAGACATACATTAGACAGACTTGAGAAAGTATATACAACTCTGTCTACTAACAGTAATCTACTACACAACTCTACATACAAAGTAGCAATATTGCTTACTACTCCTGAGTAATATACACATGTAGTAAATACAATAATACAATCTACTAATGCTTAAAACAAAGGCAAACCAGTTGATGAACATAAGAAAGTTGAACTGAAGCAACTAATCCTTACATTACAGAATGCCTACAACAATTACTGTGCTAAACAAGTACAAGATTCTAATGATCAGACAAAGAATAATGTACACACTAATACAATGTATAAAGCTAATAAGTGGAGGAAATTCAATCTGCCAAATCTGTTCAATCTGACAAAAGCAAAATGTTTCAATTACAGAAAAACAGGACATTTCTCTAAGGAATGCTGTAAACCTCCTACTGAAGCTATAAAGCTTGCATGTGCTAAACATCAAGCTAACATTGTGTATAAAATGAATCAAACTGTAGAAAACACAACAAACACATTTATTATTGAAAACCCAAACAAAAACAATGTTGAATTAAAGGAAGACAACATTAAAATGAACAATAACACTTATGCTCTTATTCTGAGCAACCAGGACAAACAATTTGAACAATATGCTTCCTAGGTATGTACTAATGTATTTACAAATACAATCATAGCTAACAAGAAATCCTATACACAAATGATGGATTTACTTGATTCTAGTACATTAATACATACTACTCCTTATCTATTTTGATTAACAGATGTACACAACATAACTCCTACAATTGTAACTATTACAAATAGATCAACAATGACTCTTAATTGAGCTGGATCTATGTGTATCAAAATCCCAAAGAATATACAAGAAAAAAGTGTCATAACATTACAAAACATCTATTACTATCCACAAATGACCTTTTCCCTCATAAGTCAAGTACTACTATGTAGGGAAGGTTATTCTTTTATGTTTACAAACAATAATTGTACTATAACATCACCATGTAATGAATACATTAGACATATACAATTGAGAAATAACTTGTATATTTTGTACAATAATCATTTATTAAAAACAATGAACAAACTATCTATTTATGATATACATAAATGCCTCAGACATATAAGTTACAATTATATTAAATGATTATTAAAGACACAACCAAGTGTACTATCAACTAAAATAATGAACTATGAAGAAAAAGAATGTATTGAATGTATAAAAGCAAATATCAAATGTACACCAATACCAAAACTATGTCAATCTCCTCTTACAAATCAATTTAGAGATCTTATTCATATTGATATCATTGGTCCTATTAAACTGTACACATATAAGAACATATGTTACTTATTAATGATTGTAGACAATTCTACTTGTTGGTACATAATGCTCAAATTACAAACAAAATCCAATGCATATACACAATATGTATGATGGACAACTAAAATATTTACACAGTACAGAGTTAAAATAAAGCTTTTACAAAGTGATAACAATACTGTATTCCTTAGTGAAGATTTCAACAATATTTAGATTCACAAGGAACAAAACAAAGATTAACAGTACATTATACTCTATAACAGAACAGAATAGCAGAACAAACACATAAAACTATATTTAGAGGTGTAAGAGCATATCTAACATCTACTAAATTACTGTTTACATTATAGGCTGAAGCAGCAATTCATATTACCTATATTCATAATAGAACACTGTGTGCTGCTTTAAATTACAATACCCTACATTACAAACATTACAGAACACACAGAACAATTGATAATATATATGAATTTGGTTAATATATTATTATTTGCAATGAAAATCCTACAAAAATACAATAGCAAGGTATTATTGCTTGTTGGATAGGATTAGACAATGAAAGTAAAGGCTATAAAACTTGGCACAATAATAAAATCACTATCAAACAAAATATTCAATTTCTCAAAGGTAAACCTCCTCAAATTGAAGGGGAGAAAATAGATGATACAAACAACAATATGAACAAGTATTTAATAATTAAAAATAACAAAACAGACAATAGAATAATGAGAACAGACAACAATGATACAGACAACACTAATCCTAACAAAAAAGGAAAAGCAGCAGAACCAACAGACTTAACAGACAACAAAGTTAAATTAACTGAAAAAGAAGTAGAACCTAAACTATGTTGATTGGAATGGAAACAGAAACTGACAGAATGTACTATCAAGCTTGAACAATGCATGGAGAATAAACATGTAACAAAACACATGTATGTACTTAGCAAAAAGGATGAAGATAATATTGCTATTCATTTAACAGAATTTAATACTAAAATAAGTGAAATACAATTGGATCCAACTTCATTTAATGAAGCAATCTAATGTCCAGATTGTGATTCATAGATTACAGCTATGAAAGACAAAATAAAACAATTAGAAAATCATAATACATGGGAAATCATGAATCCACACAATAATATTAACATTATTGGAACACAATTTGTCTATAAAATAAAGCAATACACTGACAATAGTATAGAAAAATACAAAGCACAATTAGTAGTTCAAGGAAACTATCAGATTGACAGCCTTGACTATCATACAGACAATTTATTTGCTCCTACTGCTAGACTATCTACAGTACAATTAATATTAGTATGGGCAGCATTTAATAATTATGAAATACATTAGATAGATATAAAATCAGCATATCTGTATGGACAATTGACAGAAGACAAAGAAATATATGTTAAACCTCCTCCAGGTAACTTAATAGACAGATTACAGAATGGACAAATATTACAATTATGAAAAGTGTTATACAGATTAAAACAAGCTAGTAGAAGATAGTATAAAACACTATCTAATATACTACTTAAATGCAGATTAACAAAATCTGAACATGATAATACTGTATTCTTTACAAAGAAGAAAGAAATAACTGTAGCCATATTATTTGTACATGTCAACAATATTACTATTGTAGTAATGAATAATAATACTATTGTAATAATAAAACAATCTATTACACATCATTTACAATATACAGACAGTGGCAAATTACACTGGCTACTCTATATAGAGATTCAACATGACAGAGAGCATAGATTCATCAGGATGTGTCAGACACATTATATTAATAGTATAATAGAATGTTACAAACTTATGAATGAACAAAGTGTACAAACACTCATACAGCCTGGTACACAATTAAAAACAGTATTGCAAACTGATAACAATAGAAAACAAATGTCTGATATACTATACATGAACATGGTTGGTGCACTTAGATACATTACAGACTGTATACAGTCAGATATAGCATTTGCAACAAATCAGTTAGCTAAATACCTTAATGACCCTAGTATGGAGCATTATCTGGCACTTAAACATTGTTACATGTACTTAAAAACTATGAACAATGTCTGGCTCCAACTCAGTAGTACAAATCAATCAATATTGAACAGATATACAGACACAGACAGTATGATGCAAGAAGGGCATTGTGCAATATCAGGATATACATTTTACTTGAGCAATTCATTAGTTTTGTGGTCAAGTAAAAGACAAACACTGGTAGCAAATTCAATGTATGAAGCTGAATTAATAGCTCTTGCAAGAGGAACACAGGAAGTGATCACACTTACTCATTTAGCTGAAGAGATTCTGCAGGTCTCTGATACACTAATTAATATCTATTACAATAACAATGCTGTTATACAAACAGTTATGTTAGACAAACTCAAATATTCAGAACAAACAAAGCATTTAGATCATAAGAAAGATTTTATTAAATGCTACATTGAGTTAGAGTACATAAATGCAAAATACATACAGACAAACAATTAATGAGCAGATATATTAACTAAAGCACTACATGTACCACAAGTCAAACATCTTACCAGTTTACTCAGACTAGTAAGAGTTTGAAGGGGAGTATTATGAGATGATTAGTTCATCAATAGACAAACCACAAGATGATGACTTCATAATGTCTCAGTTAGAATACATACAATATAAGGATGAGAGACACTGAGCAGTCAATTGTCACCTCACCCCTTGTCTATGCATGCCCCCCTTAAGTTTTCCCTCTCAACAGAATGTGTGAGTGTGGCCTCTCCTATCAGACATAGTGTATCACCAAGCTTGAGTAGCTACAGATAAAAACCTTGACTGAGATGGTGGAGTGTGGAGAAAATTACTTCTAGTTCAAGCTGCATCATATCAGAGATATTGAGCAACGAATGCTTTGATCTGATAGGTGGTCACAGTGTGCCACACTCTGGATCAAAAGGCTTAATTAATTGCAGTATTATTTGACCTTGTTCGTTGCAGATAAAAACGACTCGCCTTAACCAATCGGATTTAACTCACTCCACTCACAGAAGTTCAACGACTAGAAGACCATTGTATCAGAGTCACTCTACTGGACTGTATTTGTAGCAAACTCGGTATGTGGTATTTGGCGGGTCTTGCTGCTTAGGAAGATGGTTGTTCAGTCACACTACGTCGAGCACCTGCAGCCCCTGAAAGACTTATCTGCCAATTTTGATGCATAGTACCGGTCTGTGTCCAAGGTTTGCTATGGCTTATAGCCGCCCCAGCAAGCAAGTTGCAAGCAGAATTGGCGAGACGACGCACATGATCATTTCCGAGATCAATTAAATTTATTGGTACAGAAAGCAAGAAAGCACTTAGCACATTGCACAATTAAATATGTACTGATGCATGATCCGGTATAGTCACACTTCGAAGTTCGAACAGTTAAAAAAGGTGAGGATCTATGCTGGCGGTGAATATTGTCTAAGTTTGACACCAGCTATCTCAAACACGCGAGCGGAGGATGCATCCCTGACAGAGAATTGAGCTTGTAACTAACTTGGAAATTGAACGAAACTTACATTTTGTAGCTCAGGTTATAAACAACTTCTCGTATGCCGTTCTGAACAATCTTGATAGTACACTTTAGACATGGGCACCTGCAAAACAAGTAGCTTTAGAATAGCTTCAAGTGTAAGCAATCATGCACCTACGTGTTACAATAGATAACACATCCCTTTCCTCTCTCTCGGCCCGCCTCAAGAAGGGCATTTTCTTCCGCGTGGATGCATAAGCACTCCTCAAAACCATCGACTGATCTAGGTACGCCCTCATTGCATCGCCTGCAGCCACCTTCGTTACAGTTGGGTACACCGTAGGGAGTTCCGTTGTACCTGTAAAATGTATTCAGCCATACATATGATATGAGGCAGAAAGTGATTGCTATAAGTGTAGTTACCCTGTTGCGATGATTGAATGATCTTTTACTAAAATGGCCCCAACTCGTCGCTTCATGCAGTTTGAACGATGTGACGCTAGCGCTGCAAGTTTCTGTACAAGAGTTACTGTATGTCAGCAGGGTATAATTAAACTATGCAGTGCAACAATATTACCATGAAATATGAATCCCAGCTTGGTCGAAGGCGGTCCACATTGAGAAGGTCGATTAGTTCGAGATGGTTATACAGCCGTTCGAGAGAAGGGAACGCGTTGATGACATTAACATGGCAGAGGTGCTGGCTCGCAAAGAGGTATGCAGTCGTGACGCTATCTGAATCGGGGCCGAATGACACACGGTCGTCATCAGAGACAAAATTTTCCAAGGACTCCGCAGCGGCCTGCGGGCCATGTCGGCTAGAAGACATCAAAGTGCGGTTACTAAAAAAAGAGAATTTGCTTGGTGGAGGTGGGGAACGACGATACTTCTGGTAGCGCGCATAGCGCGTCATGGTAGGTGCATCAACGCTGACAAGCAACACGAACGGTCGCTTGAGGAACGGCTCGAGTACGGCTCGCGTCGTGATATCTTCAGTGACGAAGTTATCCCGCCAATTGCGCGTGACGTGATCAAGGAGCCGTGCTGAGTCTGTAAAACCAAGCGTGCCATCGATATCTGGGACCAAGTTTGGGTCAGACTGGCGAATTTCATCGGCTATGTTTGATGCCGAACTAGATGTCATTGAGATGAATGAACGGGGATCATCAACTTTCAAACCTGTTTTGTTACTGGAAACTATTGCTTGAGATGCACCGTCCTGGCTTACAGGCGGTATGCTTGTCGGGTTCTGATCCTGCTAAGCATCGTGGATAAGGTCTTGTCGACGAAATTAGAGAAAGAAAAGAATATATATGTACCGGGCTGGAAACAGTCTCTTTTGCATTCCCACTATAGACCAGACGAACATGCTTGAACTTCTTCCGCTGAATTAAGTAGTCCTTAATAGTAGACTTCCCAGATGCCCTAGTACCAATGATGATGATGAACATCCGATAACAGGGCTTCCTGCACGATCGCGGCAGGACGTGGCCAGTGGGCGCGCAGGTTCTAGGTCAAGCAGGTTAGTTTGTGTTAAAATGACTGTGCATTGGGAAGATTTATTCTCGAGGAGGGCCCGAGCTGAAGCAAGGGGGTCCTGGTACGTCTAAGTTTGCGAGTTGAGTTTGCCAAAAAGCCGAGGATCAAAGCAAACTAAGTCGCTTATATAAGAAATATTTCGTAATCATCATGACAGCGTCCAGCCTTTTCACCGTGCAAACGCCCCCTGTATGACACTCTCCTAAAGATTATGTTAATAATATAGTGGACACTCAGATAACGAAATTAACTCTTCTATATCATTCACTTCGGCGATAAAATTAATCTGACAAAAAATAATAAGTTATGAATTTATCAGGCAGGAATTTTGACCATATTCAATCGCATATATTCACTTCCGAGCACATTTCTCTGCAGACAAATTCTGCAGATACTCTTGAAATGGCGTGTATCAGAATGGTAAGCTTTCAGAGTTCCAGAAGTTCAATTGGTGAACTTCTCCCAACTGGAAGGAATGTCAGGCAAATTACGTGAGAAGTTGAATTTATCACTTTTCTGTGCTTATCTAGCACTTCTTCCTAAATATCTCCGCTTTTCTGACCAATGCCTCTTGTCTGGAAGCTCTAGTTGCGGGAAGCAGCCAGGTACAGAATCCAAGGGTATTTAGGCAATTTTACAGATCCCTGATCTGCGCGCGGAGATAAAGGTAATTTCGGACAGGAAGGCATTTGTTCAATGATCGATGATGTATCCCTGCACGCGCCCACGGTTCTCTCTGCAAATGGGGTCATACGATGCTATGTGTTGGAAGCGAAGCCTCGAGGCCTGTACTGGGACTGTCAGTCACCTTGCTGGCAAGCGCGCGCTCAAGTGGCACGCGTACTCCTTTACGTCCTACCATCATCCTCCGTCGACAACCGCTCTCGCTTGACTCGCATAGCAATCTACACACTTACACTGATCTGCTTGAACCCAATATTTTAGGTCTTGCGAGGAAAGCTCTTGCTTGGGCGCTTTCTGGCACTGTCATGTCTCTTGCATCAATTGGTATGATCGGGGTCTCGTTTATTATGCCGCACATTAAGCTCAAAAATGATGCACGGTGCGGGCTCAGTATTTAGTTTACTACGTCATGGACCAAACATTATGCTCTACCCAGGCGCATTTGAAACCCATCCAAGAGGTAAATATCCATATTTCACATAATCCCTTTCGAATATTGAACATGTTTAGAGGTACATCTTCCCTCGGCATGGGGACTTCAATACGAAGACGTAACACTCACCACTTCGGACAAAATAAAGATACGAGCATACCTTCTTCTTCAACCAGATCAGGAAACAGGTTCCCAAAAAACATCTATTGACTCCCCTGCAAGCTACTCTCTTCTATTTGTGCTTTGTGAGTTTGCCTAGGGCGATCAAGCTCGAAGTATACATCAGCCAAACTAATGCTTGTCTAGCAGACTAGGAAACCTCTGATGCGATGTGCAGGAATATGGTCATAGGCCTACTGTCATCATGTTTCATGGAAACTGTGATAATATAGGATATACCCTACCACTCGCTCAAATATTCTCCAAGAGAATGCGATGCAATGTCCTCATGCTTTCACCTCGCGGGTAAGTTTCTCCCAGGTGGCTCAAGGCAATTGGTGACTAAAAGTACGGGAAGTTATGGGCATTCTGAAGGTAGACCCTCAACAAAAGGTATTATTCTCGTTCCCGTTTGTATTAGAGAAAGTTAGTGATTGTCCAACTCTCAGGATTTCAACGCGATGCCGACGTAAGTGATACCGTTTCGCTTGTTCCGCAAATATTTTCCTGTTGAACTCCCTAAACTAAGGCTGCTTTAAATTTCGTCCTTTCTCATTCAAAACTATCCAAAGCACCGATTGTAAGCACAGGTCGTCGAGCGAGTTTTCATTGAATAACTGATCGTAATACCAAACTAGGTCCTCTATGGTCAGTCGATAGGTGGTGCCATGGCCGTCGACCTGGCTGTCAGACACGCTGACAAGGTGAATCACACGTCTACTTCCACATTCTTCTTAGCTATCACCATTTACTCAATTGTGTCTCGTAGATTGCTGCTCTGATAATCGAAAACACCTTTACGTCCTTGGTATAAAATTTCTCCATCATACAGCAAATCAGTAGACTGACAGGTGTCATATGCACAAAGCGCCGCCTCATCCCAGAAATCATGCCCATCTTCACCTTCGTTGCCCCTTTCTTCAGACAATGGAACTCTGCACGAAAGCTCAAGCGATTACCACACAGAGTCGCATTGCTCATGCTGAGCGGTCAACGCGATGAGATCGTTCCTCCCAAACACATGCGTGAACTTTGGGAAATCGCGACTGAGGTTAGCTCACCATCGTCCAAAACGAAGAGCGTTGGGGAGAGCCAGAAAGCAGACAAGGACGACAAGCCACACAGGAGTGGCAGACTTGTCGAGATTCCGCAGGGCGGACATAGTAAGTTGTCTGAAAGTCGAGACGTCATGCAAGGCTTCTGGGGCATGTCTAATGCACATTGCAGATGACACGTGGGATGATCCCGCTTACTGGGATGCAATCGAATCGTTCCTGGAGAGCTTGCCCACTGGATCTAGCGCAAAATGAACGCTTATACCCAAAAGACTTTAAAGTCGGCGATCTTCTATTTCTTTTTTCATTTCCTAGGTAGTATTGTTACGTTTTTCATAGATGGACATGATGTGTATGACTTTCATTTTGGACAATATGAACACTTGCAGGAAACGTGGGTTAATAAACATTAGCTCGTAAGAAAGATGAAGAGTAATCAATCATGAAGCTCTGTTTCCGGTCTTCTCTGGTAATTTCTTCGTGCCCTCTCTTGCCCTCCGCTTCGCCTTCGCCTCCGCTCGGCCCTTGGCACGCAGTGCTTTCGCAGCCCGCATGTCCTTCGGCGCAGTAGTACGCAGCTGTTTGATATGAGTCGGCTCTAAGCGCCCACGCAGCACGTCAATACGTCTCGGTAGGATACTTTTGGAGTTTGACGCATTGCTGGACATAGGCAAATCTGCAACGCCGGCGAGCCAAGGTGCTACAACGGCGTCCACAGAGGATAGCAGAGATGTCAATGAAACGTCACTGGATAATGATTCCTATAAATAGGTTATATTTGATCAAAAATCAGCGAAATAGACGATGTACTGCGGTGGGATTGAGATGCATACATCAAGAGCTAGGACTGCTACACGCCGAAGACCCAATGCTTGAGATAAGGTGCTTTCCGTACCCTTCGGGAGCGAGATGAGTTTGATCCATCTGCCCGGATCTTTGGTGGCACTGTTGAATGCCGCGACAAGATAAGGGAGGTGTGATACGAGAAGTGGCGGATCGATATCTGGGCGGCAAACGAGAACAGTACGGATGGGCGCGTTCGGTCGCTGCTCGCGCGACGGTGCGCCCGTACCTGGCGCTGTCATATCATCACCCGCCCTCTCGTCTCCGACATTGTCGTCATTATGCTTTGAAACGTCTGGATTCACGCTGGAGGGAGACGGAGAGATGTGCAGACGCGGTATTCGGCACTGCTGCTCCAGTTGCTTCGTAACAGCATTGATACCAACTGTGATTCTTCGAAAAGCTTCCGGGGTGGGAACGGGTACCTCGGGGGCAGGTGGGGGGGCAGACGCCATCTTCGTCTCCGTCTCTGTCGACGGACCTGAGTGAATATCATCATCGATCCCCTGTTGCTGCTGCTTTTGATGCGCTGCATCTGAGTCCACTTGATCTGGAACATTCAGTTCGGAGCGCTTCAATTTTTTCTGTGCTCGCCGTTGTCTTTTCGTCGTGCGACTTTGTTTTTGCCTGCTGTGATTATACTCCGCAAGGCCCTGCATCAGTTCAATCACTCGAGCCAAGATCGCATTTTGTAGATTCGGAGCGATTATAGGCCTAAATTCTTGGGAATGCGTCATTGCAATGGCATGAATTGTAAAAGGACGGGACGGACCATTTCACCTCAAACGGATTAGACAGAACACTTTTGAAAACCGGTCTTCGCTCCCCGCGGTCCTTCGCCTTCCTATTTGATTGTTTACCATGTGTACGAGCTAGTTGATCTTGGGTTTGAAGGTTCAACTTTGAAGACATTTTGTTTGCTACCCACGGTGTACGGAGAAAGGGCAAGAAGATGACCGCACCAAGACGCTCGACGCGGCAGCCTTTTGCCGCGTTCCGTCATCAAGGACTCACTCATACGAGTTTAACGATGATGCTTTTTCATAGACGTTGTATTGAAACTATTTAATTCAGCAGAAATGACGCTCCGGTGTACTCGAGATAGGCTGTACTCATTCATGAAAAATGGATACACCTGTTGGCTTTTACCTGTAACTAGCAACCAGTCTCGGGGTCTCAAAACTCAATTACATCGGCCTTAGGTGTTGTTCGTCCAGGTATACGAAGTGCATTGGTTTGCGAGCCAGTATTGCACTGGTCAGACGGTCACAGGGTATGTTGTCATTTGTCAAACTTTCCGCGGAGTAGTTACATTGAGCTATGCATGTTTACATGGTCGGTCTCAGGCTGCGGTCGTGTTCTAAACCTGGCATCACTTTTCACCCTCATCTAAGATTTTGACTCGACCACTCTTCGCTTTTCGGGTTGTGTCTGAGGTTGTATTGGAGTCTCTATCCTAAAGCCATCAAATATATCGACCATGGAGAGCCACATGTCCCTACCGTCATCAGGGAATGGAATCACCGGCGGCCTTGAACGGGTTTTGGTGCCTTCATACTATTACTACTATACTTCCACGTGTTCCAGGCGATTGGCCTACAGAGACTCGACTGCATCAGGATACCGGTGGCCACAATCGCCACGCCTTATCGACTCCATCTCTGACTTTGCGCTGCCGCGATCTGCTCTGATATGCTCACAATCCAGACCCGTCTACTAATGGGGTTCCGGAGGCTATTCAGCGATGTGCGCTGAATGAAATCTTCTTCAAGTCCAAGTACTGTGGTGCTGCGCTGATGCCTTTGTTAGAGACCTGACTCGTGCGAGAAGGGTTTGATATGATGAAACGTGGTGTCTTGTCCGCATGGAAATTGTCAATAACCTTTTTCGCATTTTCAAAGCTATTGTTTTTTCGCGTATTCAGGGCAACATGAACTCCCAGCTTTTGACTTGTTCGCCTCGACTCACGTCTTGGCTCTGTTACGCGACAACCTGAGATCCGGAAAGGGTGCTGTATTAGGTTTGGAGTACCGCGGTTCCACTTTTGCTACTGGGATTCCTCGGAGATTCGCACTCCAGGTCGATGCCCAGAATGCCAATAGTGGTTCATTCCCTTTAGAAGCTAGCCTTGTGAGTCACTGTTTAAGCTCTAAATAAACCCCAAAAAATGACTTGAAAAGCAATTGACTTTCATAGAAATCGATCCGTTTTTGCTTCCGGAGTGGTTCATATCTGAAATAAACATTGTCGTATTTGGGTATGTTCTCGGTCGGAACACAGGTTCCCCATGGTCTAGGGCCGGATCGCAGGCTTATTGATCTGATAGCCGATAGAACCGGTCAATAGCATATAGATCATTGGAATTAGTCTGCCATTGATAGGCACGAAATGGTAGCAATTCGGAATGTTCGTATTTTCTTCGACGATGAAGGCGAAGAGCATTACTGATCTTGGTGATGAAAATGAGGGCGGAATAATTGATAAGTATTACAGATTTCTTTTTGTAATTTTGTCACGGTCCGGCACTGACCACGAGGCATGCTAGGCTTTAGATGGGCGGTTCCAACCACTTCCTTTAATGCCACCATCTGCTACTGTACTAGGCCGGCTTTTCCGCCTGAGTCAATGTTGGTCTTTCTTTTGACCTCGGGTGGTTGATTTCATCTTGCCATACTGACTCGCCTGTCGCACGAAACGTCCGTCATGCCCATAGAAGTACCAGGCCCCATACGACAAAAATACGCGATCTTTTAACGCAGTGTCTACTGTCCAAAAAAGGAGAAATAAGATGCGCCGGCAAACACTGTAGTGGAACAGCTGACCTCCACCGTTGTCTTGATCAAAACAGCACAAACGGTTCCTTCCAAAGACACTAGACTCGGTGAGAGTGACTTGCCTGTGCGCCTAGGATTATAATTTAGAGTATGTTTCGTTTAATTGAGGTGAGATCATTTGTTTGGTATTGATCGATTCGAGAACCGAGATTGACTAACTCTTAAAGCCTGTTAAGGTTAGGATATTCGGGAAGCTCGAAATGCGGTGCCCGCTGTTTGCGAGTGCGGGCAAGACTTGATCCTCGTTTGCGTCTCTTTTTCGGGTGAGCGACGAGTGATCTACAATGAAACTCGATGATCTACTACGCAATGCACGAGTCTCTAATGTATGAACAGGTCATCAATAGAACAACGCGAATTGGGCTGATGATGAAAAATAGGCGCTCACTGTATCTGGAAACCGCCTTAGTCGCCGGGTCGAGAACCGACACGGCGAAAGTCTTATTCATGACGTGAAGCTGTTCAGTATCAACTACTACGGCGAGTCACAAGCGAGCCCCTCTCCTAGGAGCCTATGGGGTCCTTCATTATGCAGACTGAATATCCGTACAGCTTTTGGTCAGTCTATTACGGCGGAAACATACCAGGAAAATCATATAGATGGCCGTGCCTCCTCCTAAGATACTTAAGGAAGGATACCTGGGATGACTCGTTATCAACAAGTTCCTACTCCCTCAAAACAACTACCTCAGGCCTTCATCTACTTGCTCTACTTGCATATTCTCTGAAATGCCTGCACGTACCGACGGAAGCATCAATACCACTACGTACCGATCGTCCCTGGCCCTTCCCACCGATGCCTTGAACGCCATGAAGCGTGATCCGCGTTCCAATATTATCTCCTCTAAAATAGAGAAGTACCGTGCAATGGAGGGCCGTGGTTTTCGTCTCCAGCCCGACGAATTTTGGATCGTCTGCTCAACAACGCGTACTACCTCACGCGGTTCCGAAGACAAGACGGTTGATTTCGTACTTGCATGCACATACGGTGTAGTCGGAAAATACCCTATATTCATCTGGGGTACCAAGCTCGAGGACGATCTCACCGACGAGTATCTTGAGGTCCGCATGCGGAACGTAGTTAGCGAACTTTTGAAGAACGTCTCTCCGCGCCGTGTATACTCGATATTTGCCGTCCAGCCGGTCGCGCAGAGTTTTGCAGCACATTGGTCCTCTGCAACGCGTATCAGCATCATCCCAGAGCCGTACTATGCTGCGAAATTCTCTTACTGCACTACTAAGACATTAGCACCAGCTCCTTCTGCAAATGGAGTAATCATGCGTGTTGCAGAGGACCATGATACCGAGCAGGTTGCACACTTGTGCTACGGATTTGCAGCAGATTCTGTGAGTAGCTTCTCGGTAAATCGCTCTAAGAAATAAGAATCTAATCGTGGGTGTGTGCATGTAGCCTCCGTTTGTATTGACTAACGACGGAGCCCGGGCTGAGGCGCGTACAATGATCCAGGCGAAGCAAGTATGGGTGCTTGAAGTTCAGCATAGCCGGGGATCGTCCATTGCTTGCATCGTTGCTCTGACCCGTGCGAATGCAAATGTCATGGCGATCACGAAGGTTTATACGCCACCGGAATGGCGCCAGCGTGGCTATGCACGCCGTCTTGTCCGTAAAGTTTGCGATCAGTAAGTCAACCTTCTATTTTGACGCGTAAATGTAGCTAATCAACGGGCATCGGATCATTATCAGCCTCTTCACAGTCGAGCACAAGGACTACGTCGTTCTCTATGTTGGTCATGATAACAGTGCTGCCAACGTTTACAATCGCGTTGGATTTGTTGCGCTCGAGCCCGGAACTCAATCACAGTTCAGGTCCGTTGAGAACTGGCTTGAGCTCGGTTTCGACCGTGCAAAGATTGATCTCGGGCACTGGTAACCAGCTACATGCATTCTTGCCACAATGCTCTCAGTATCTGTTTCAAGCATTACTGTGGCAATAATCTCTTTTGCATATTTTATCTAAGTTATTACATTACACTTCCAACCCCACATTATTTATTCCGGATGCAATTGTATACTTTCAGATGCAGATATAGCCTCATCCCTGTGTTCCAACGTCACTACTGCTTCATTTGGATCTTGTTATGTCCACATCTGTAGTATGCCTATCCCAGGCCATGCTGCTCTTCTCAATTCTGTCTGCTATTTTACTATTGCACTAATCTATATATTTGGTGTCGGAACATTTGATACGAATTGGAGTAATATGGTATCGTGCGAATAAAAAACCAAATTAGAAAGTTGAGTTCAGACGCGTCGCGGCACGCGTGTTTGGCGCGACTTGAGGTACCAACCACCAGCAAGAGTTGCCGCAGGCAACAACGAGCTCTCAACGCGTAATTATGCCACCAAGACGCGCAACTCGGAAGGCTTCTGTCCCTCCAGAGTCCAACACACCGTCTCCAGAACCATCAACTATACGGAAGCTATCTGCGGCCAAAAGGAAACGCGTTGAAGACGAACAAGAACTGAGGGAGGAAGATGAAGATGACGCGCTGAAGAAGACAAATGCGAGAGCTAGGAAACCCGCATCGCGTCAGGTTACAACTTCCGCTGGTAAAGGGAGAGCGACCAGCCGGAAACTATCTGCAACTGTCGACCAGGAAGAAGACGAAGGCAATGCTGAGGCACAGGAGAGAGATGCGCCATCGCCTCCCAAGAGATCACGGACAAGCACCTCTGATGAAGACGTGGAAGATGACGATGAAGAGGAGAAGTCATCTTCGAAAACACGACGAGGCGTATCCAGGCAGGTGAAACGCGCACCTGCACGGGCCGCGAGATCGAGACGCGTTGTTGACGAGGATGAAGATGATGACAGTGCATCACTGGCTGGCCAAGATGACGAAGAAGATGACGACTCATTTGAAGAGGAGAAACCAAAGCGCAAGAGCCGAGCAACTAAGCCACCTTCACGCGCGTCTTCGACGAGTAGAGTGACAAAGCCCACTTCGCGAACAACTACTGCAAAACCTAAGAAAGTTGTAAAGAAGGAAGAGCCTATCAAGGAGGCGAACGAGGATGAGTCAGACTTTGATGAAGTAGAGGATCAGATTACCGCTCGTCCTACGCGAATAATAGCCAGATCCTCAGAGCCGGAATCTGAAGCACCATCCGTGAAGAAAGTCGATGAAGAGTCCGATGATGAGCCAGAGAAATCGCTACTCGATGATCATCCTATTACCGCTGTCCCAAAACCGCGTCTTTCTGTCGTCCCGCAACCTCCCGTTCAAGAAGAACCTCAGGGTCCGAAATCTCGCCTTGTCATCCATAAGATGGTGCTAGTCAATTTCAAGAGTTACGCTGGTCGACAAGTCATTGGACCCTTCCATAAAGTATGCAGTTTCTATTTTTCCGAATGCGACACATGACATTAACCTTGCTTCAGTCTTTCTCGGCTATTGTAGGACCAAATGGATCGGGAAAGTCGAATACGATCGATGCATTACTTTTTGTATTCGGATACCGAGCGTCCAAGATGCGTCAAGGCAAACTGTCAGAGTTGATCCACAATTCTGCAAATTATCCCGACCTCGATGAATGTTCCGTTGAGGTCCATTTCAGGGAAATTATTGATCTGGTAAGCAATCATTGACAATGCAATCGTATAAATATTCATGAAGGTCCTAATTTCAGCCTGGTCCTGATGCGTTTGAAGTCGTACCCAACTCACAAATTGTTGTGGCCCGTTACGCTTACAAGAGTAATGGAAGCAAATACACCATTAATGGTCGCTCTAGCAACTTTACGGAAGTAACGACGCTCCTGAAGGGTCGTGGTATTGACCTTGATCACAAGCGCTTCCTCATCCTTCAAGGAGAGGTTGAGAGTATCGCGCAAATGAAACCGAAGGCTCCGAACGAGCATGAAGATGGTTTATTGGAATATCTAGAAGACATTATCGGAACAGCGCGTTATAAGCAACCGATTGAGGAAGCAATGACAGAACTGGATAACTTGGCTGAGCAGCGTACGGAGAAGCTAAATCGTCTCCGAATAGTCGAACGCGAGAAGAACGCGCTTGAGGAGAAAAAGCGCGAGGCAGAGGAGTTCCTTCGTCTCCAGAACGAGCACGTCCGTGCGCAATCACGGCTGTATCAGTGGTACTTGTGGAAGTGCCTCGAGGCGGATCAGCAGTATGCAGAAACGATTGTATGCGTTGTCTTTCCTACGTTGGCGTTGTGAAAGACTAATTTTGTTCTTCAGGAAAACTTAGAGGCCGAGCTTGCTGAGGAAACAGAACGCAACAAAGATGATATCCAGCATTGTCAAATGCTGGAAGAAAATTACGAAGAGCGTGTGAAGACCTACGAGGTATGTGTGGTCATTCATTTATGTATTGCATCGATTAAAGTCACTTTAGGAAGTTAAAACAGCCGCGGTTGAGGCAACCAAGAACCTCGCTATGTACGAGAAGCAGCAGGTTAACCTCGAAGAGCGTAAGAAACACGCAAACACGAAGGCCAACAAGTTGAAGAAGTCCTTGAAGGATGTACGTGGCAGCTTCTGCGCATATACACAAAATGATTCTAATACATACTTTTGGCTAGGATCAAAAATCAAGGGATGAAGCTCTTCGTTTTATTGACACAAACACCGAGAAGATGCAGAAAGAGAAGGACAAGCTTACTGAGCTCGAAGAGTCACTTGGACGAGAGGAGAATGTCCTTGAGGGCATTAGGGACAGTCTCAAAGGCAAGTACATGGAGCACAGACAACATCTATTCGTGTTTCTAACGGACATACTTGATCATAGACAAAACGCAAGTTTTCCATGACCAGATCGAAGTGAAGCAGAAGGAGCTGCAACCGTGGACCGCACAAATTAACGCGAAACAAGCAGAAATAGACGTCGCAGTCAGCGAGCGCGATACACTTGCTAAGAAGGCGGAGGCTGTGCAGAACTCTCGCAAGGACGCACAGGAAGCCCTCGAGCAATTGCAGTCTGATCATTCTGCAAAGGTATGGTTAGCACCGATTATATTGGACATGACTAATGAACAAATAGGAAGCTGATAAGGAAGAGCTCCAACGAAACAGGAGTAATCTCCAGAAGGAGCTGGAAGCTGGCGAAAAGAAGATCCAAGTACGTATTGTTGACAGTATGATGAGCTACGGATACGATCTTACATGATTGTGCGAGACAGGACTTGCAGAAGAGTGTTGAGGAATTGCGTTCCAAGGCATCATCAGCTCGTCAAAAGGTAGATGAAGCAAAGGCATCTCAAGCTGCCAATACCTCGCAGAACCGGGTGCTCGATGGATTAATGCGACTGAGAAACAGCGGACGCATTTCAGGCTTCCATGTGCGTTAATTATTATATACATTAATGCTGTTATGCTAAGTAATCCTCAGGGACGTCTGGGAAGCCTAGGGACTATCCCCGAAAAATACGACGTTGCTGTCTCAACAGCATGTCCGGCGCTAAACAACTTGATTGTCGATACTGTCGACCAGGGACAGGCATGCATAGAGTATCTTCGTAAACAGAACCTGGGACGAGCTTCTTTCATTGTTCTGGAGAAGCTCTCACAGACAAACGGCCTTGAGAAGATCGCGACGCCGGAGAACGTTCCACGACTCATGGACCTCATCCAGCCGCGAGAACCGCGTTTTGCTCCTGCGTTCTTCAAGGCTGTCGGCAATACCCTCGTCGCAAATGACCTCGAACAGGCGAACCGTATCGCTTATGGTCAAAGGCGGTGGCGCGTTGTGACACTCACTGGCCAACTTATTGATACGTCAGGAACGATGTCCGGTGGTGGAACACATGTTTCACGTGGTTTGATGAGCTCTAAGTTAGTTGCAGAAGCTGTGGAGCCCGAAGTCATTCGTAAATACGAACAGGAAAGCAACGACGCAGCAAGGAAGCTCGAGGTTGCACTTGCACAGCTTCGAGAATTCGAGACCTCTATGGACAACTTAACCCGGAGAGTCCCAGAGCTCGACATGTCATTACAGAAAATCGATCTTGACATACAAACGGGCGTGAAGAGGATAGCAGAAGCTGAGAAGCGAGTGCGGGAGCTAAAGTATGTTGACATCCTATTTGGTAGTTTTCGTGCTAATGAACACTCCACAGGTCGAAGAGCAAGCCGGACGAAGGAGACCTCGCTCGGATAGCAACACTTGATCACGAGATTGCTTCGTCAACCGCCGAACTCGAGAAAATCAAGAAGAAAGCGAGCGTTGTTGAGAAAGCTATCCAGGATCTCGAAAAGAAAATTCTCGACATCGGTGGTGCGAAGCTTCTTTCGCAGAAGTCAAAGGTCGACGGGATCAAGCTGCATATTAACCTTGCGATGGATGAGATCACCAAAGCCGAGGTGAACAAGGCAAAGGCCGAAAAGGACTCTGTACGATTTGCAAAAAATATCGAGAACCATTCGACTGCGCTCGAAGAAGTTGATGTTGAGCTCGAAGATCTGAATGGCAAGTTATCGGAGGTCAACAAGTTCGTTTCTGAGACTCAGTCGAAAGTCGACGCTGCCCAGGCTGCAGCGGATAACGCCAAGGACGATCTGGAGAATTTGAAAGCTGAGCTCGACGAGAAGACTGAACAGATTCAGAAGTTCAGGAAACGAGAGGTAGAGTTCATTTTCCCGCACTTAGATGAAATGCTGAAATGTCCTGCAGATGGAGATTAAACAGCATCTCAATGATGCAAAGAAGGAGAGTCATGAGAATGAAAGAGCTATCGAGCACTATCGTCTCGAGCATGACAAACTCAAGCTTGAGGAAGTCGAGTAAGTGCTATAATGATTCAATTGCTCACGAGAATATAATATTGATCATGTGACGCCTAGTGAGGACGATGAAGAGGAGGAAGATGGGGAAGGTGCAGCCGAAGCCAGGACCGAAAAGGCTGAAGGTGAAGCGGATGCGGCTCGACCATCTGAAGAGCCGACATCGGAAGGAGAGAAAATCGTCAAGCCTGAGCCTACGGAAGAAACAGTCCCACCTCCCAAGAAGCGAGCGCGTACACCTTCATTCGAATTGCATATATATTCTGTCGAAGAACTGTCACGGTTTAAGAAGAAAGAGCTTCTTGCCGACGTCTCTCTCTTAGATGGTACGTTTCATGACTTATTTCTCTCTGTTTCTTCATAGCTGACCTTAAACTCAGAACAAATTAAGAACTCGAGTCCCAACCTCGCGGTGCTCAAGGAGTATCGCAAACGCGAGCAAGAATTCCTGAATCGCGCAAAGGATCTTGAGGAAGTGACAAGTCAGCGGGACGCCCAAAAGGCTCACTATGATGGCCTTCGGAAGCAGCGATTGGATGAGTTCATGACAGGATTCAATGCAATTTCTGCGAAGCTGAAAGAGATGTACCAGGTATGTCGAATCCCTCGCTTTTAGTCCGCTCGATTTAATCTGTGGAAATTGGTCGCTAGATGATTACGCTTGGAGGGAACGCAGAGCTCGAGCTTGTGGATAGTATGGATCCATTCTCGGAGGGGATTATCTTTTCTGTTATGCCGCCGAAGAAGAGCTGGAAGAATATCTCTAACTTGTCTGGTGGAGAAAAGGTATGCTCGCCTCATCTCAAGTGTTTGTACCGTGACTGATGACTGAGTAACAAGACACTGAGTTCTTTGGCACTCGTCTTCGCTCTTCATGTGTTCAAGGTACGACTGACAAAGTTACCAAGTTAACCTTCTCTGACTTTCCTCAGCCTACGCCGTTATATTTTATGGATGAAATTGACGCTGCACTGGACTTCCGTAATGTCTCAATTGTGGCCAACTATATCAAGGATCGCACGAAGAATGCACAATTTATCATTATTTCTCTCCGGTAGGTCCCAGCTGTCTCGTGTGGCATCAGATAAACACTGATAGGATATTCTAGCAATGACATGTTTGAGCTCAGTCATCGTCTCATTGGCATTTATAAGACATCTAACGCAACTAGAAGTGAGTCCATCCGTCCTCATTTTCAGCCTTTGTGCACGTTCTTACCGATTACTCAGGCATCTCAATAAACAACCACGCCCTTAATGCTCTTCCTGTAACGCAACAATCAGCTCCACTAACCGCAGTTGTGCCGACTTCGTCCGTGTCAGTCATGCCGATTGCCTCTACACTGAGGGTGTAATTCTGTCTAGCATTTGATGCACATAGGTTAAACCTACCTGTACACCTTGATTGGATTGGTTGATTATACTTTTTTCTTGTGCTTCTGCGCTGTTGTATTATTTGCTATTACTATCTGGCTAATATGGAAGAGGCTTGATTTATATTACATTACATATCTTGTGTGATTGAAGAGCATCGGTGAAACGCGTCGCGTGGAGGCATGATTTGCATTTTTGCTTTCAGACCATCACTTGTTAGGTTGCCAACATTGATTACGCGCTGCTCTGCGTCATAAACAAAGTCTGATACATCTGTTGAGAGCCATCTCATTTACCAATCTACCTTATTCTTCTAATTAAATCTGAGGAAATGAATAACGGCAATGCGAGCGGGACACCGCCGCCGACGTTACCAGAAGATCAACTGCTCGAGCTGCTCACCCAGTTACAAAGGACCACACCGGAACAGGCAAAAGCGATCTTGAATGCGCAACCGACGATTGGGTATGCGCTTGTACCGCTGATGGTGAAGATGGGGATTGTTAATTTGGAGGTGTTGCAAGTGGGTGTTGTTTTTATTCATTTGATCCAGACATGTGGAAATCGAACGGGTTAACTCATAAGTTTTGTTTTCTTCTTGTAAACCGATATCACCGATTTTCGTTGCCTCATTCGAAACCGTTTAACCAAATGATTATTTGTGATCGTTTTCCCTGGACGAGTAGAAAACGCTATCATCGTACGCTGCTCCGGCATCAAATCAAACTGCACCTCCACCCGTTCCTACGATTCCAGCACACCTCATTCCATCTCAATCACAACCTCAGGCACAAGTACAAGCACATCAGCCACCATACGGACATCAACCAACTCCACCACCAGCAGTGGCACCCTACCCATTGAACCCGACGGCACCTGCCCCACAATATCCTGGTTACGCGCAGAATGGCGGGTATACCGGTCAGCAACAGCAGCAACAATATGGTGGACAGCAGCACCCAACTCAACAGCAACCTGCTGTGGGACAAACTTCGGGCCCAAATGCAGCAATGCTTGGTGCACTAGGGAATATACCTGATGACCAACGTGTATGTTCTTTTCTTTCCTTCTCCCTCCTCAATTTTACTTATTTTGCCTGTACTACCCATTGATTTCTGTGCATCGACTCTCAAACGAAAATATATATACATATATATAGGAAATGATCATGCGAGTCATTTCAATGACACCAGACCAGATCAATCGTCTACCACCTCAGGATCGAGCTATTACTATACAGCTTGTATGTGCATTACATTAACTTGCATGAATAAGGGGAAAGCAAGGACTGATGAGTGAAATATAAATATGTATATGTAGCGCACAACACTAGGCTTGCCTACAGAGTGATGGTACGAGAACGAGGACTTCGAAAGCCCTGGACACCCTGTACAAATCTTTCTGCTCAGGAAATGCAACACATGCATTTATCCACCAGAATATGACGATAGGAGGAAAAGTAAATGGGTACGGAAGTGATTCAATCAACGTCAACACCTTTCGATCGCAAATCATTCTTCGCCTGTGCAATTTCCTACGTAACAACCCAGCATCAATAGGAAGTTCTCGTATTTCGTATGAGAGATAGAATTGCATGATGTAACTCCATAGAGTAGCAAATCATTTTTGGAGGTGATTCAGAGTAGGAGTTGTACGAACCTTGATAAGTTCCTCATATGCCTCTGGCACATCATTAAATGTATACAATCCCCACCCGAGGGATGAAAGTGAGTATGCGCCGAAGGCTACGAGTAACCACCATGGTAACTATCCACACCATAAATTCATTCCATTCGACACATCAGATAGTAAAATAAATTATCTTCAACAAGAGTAAGACAGCGAGACGCGTGCCACGTACCACAGGAAGAATCTGCTCCGTAATAGACGTGTCTACAAATGGTATTCGCAAGATTTGGAACCAGACAAGCGCGTATGCCGTCGAAAGTGCACCAAAGAGAGTCAGGAAGCGCGTTAGACGAGTCATTCTTATGAGAAAGTCGTTTATAGCGAGAGAAATGTGTTATGAGCTTTAGTTTGAGTAGAAGTCGCGAACGCGACGTGTAAGAACGTGATTCAGTTCCCACGATTTCATTTACAATCCCTTCATTTCAAAACATAATATCTACATGATGACATGCTTAATTTTATAATACTCAACAGGCTCAATACTCATTGTATAGGAAATAAACAAAGGAAAAGATATAAGGAGTGACACTATTTATAGCTATATTTACTCGATTTCAATTTAATTGCAGGAAGGAATAGAACTCATCGTCATAGACCTTGAGACATGTCCAGGCCTAGATTTCTTCTTACCAACGTATGTATGCTCCCTAGCCAAATCGTCCTCTTCACGCGTTTTCTGTTCGAATACAGCAATCCGGTCACGTACAGGACTGAACCCATTAGAGCCTGACTTGCCACTAGGTCTAGATGGTGTGTTTATATGATGTGCGCCAGTCCCGTTGGAACGCTTTCGAGCCGATGGTAGAATAATGCGGCTTGGAGAATTATTAATGGAAATCTGTTTGTCCTCCGCCTGTGTTGGCGCCGTCTTGGAACGAGATGCGGATGGACGCCTAAGTTGGGACGCTTGAGTGGCTAGCTTCGAAGGTCTATTACGTGGAGGTCTCGATGGTGTCGTCGCAGCAGGATAAACTGAACCAGGGCTTTCGTCCACTACATCCTCCGAAGGATTAGCCACGCGAAGAATTGACCGCACTGTGTTTGGTGCACTTGAGCTTGTTCGCCTGTGGTGTTTCGGCCGAGGAAGACTTCGGGGAGCAGGACGTCCTTCTGGTGACGGTATGTTTTCCTCCTTTCCTTGAGGGGCACGCATATTCCTTGGTCCTCTAACTCCACGCACTCCTCCAGCTTGTAGTACGTGTCCTGAAGGTTTCTCGCGCACAGGCGACTCAACAAACATGTGTCCAGTGTGATGATTCTCGGAAGATAAACCAAGTCCACCCATCGAAGTATCCAATAACGATGAGCGGTATAAACTCTGCGAGTTATGGAAGTCAAAAGCACCCATATCAATCCTCGCACTCGCACACCCAACCATCCGCTCTACTTCTTCATCTGACCCCAAATCCTCTTCTTCCGCAAACTCATCATCAACATCTGCACTCTCAAAGTTCTCCCTGTTGTAGCTAACGTGAACTCCGGTTAAGCTACTGTCAAGAATGCACGAGTTCCGCATTCCACTAAGCATGGAATAGTCACTGAGCTTATAGTCCACAGTGATGTCCTCTTCGTCAAGTAGCGAAGATGACCCTGGGATGTCTCCAAGCGTGCGATTCAGGTCGTCCGCATCCTCGACGTTTCCGAGGTCGTGCATTATATGTTCGTCAGAAAGGTCTGGGAGAGGCATATTGCGTGAGGGTGGATAGGCCAAATGCGCATCCTGCGCCAAGTCTTCGCGCTCTACAGTGCTATACTGAGGAGCAAATCCTTCCGAGGGAGACTGCTCCATCCTCATTCCACCAATTACATGCGAGTCTGACTGTGAGTATTCCTCTGGCTTCGGCGTATCCAATTCGATAACGGAAGACAACAATGTTGACACAGAAGAGATGGGATCACACGGCGGCGGGTCGAGAGAAATGAAGTTCACGACACAGATAGGTAACGTTACGTGCACCGCTTCTGAGTTTCCCGTCATGGAAGAGACACCTAGAGCAACGCGGATGGCATAGTCAACTTCGATGAGACGGGCGCGCGGGATAGTCAGAGCGTCTGGCTATATTAACATAGAATGTGTCAGTCGTCGGTACTATCTCTTCGTCAAAAGGCAAACTTACAGGAATCATAATGGATTGAGTAACGATTCTCGTTTCGCCAGGCCCTACACCGGTCCACCATCCTTTTGCACTTGCATGGCCCTTCGCACCCTTCTGTCCGGCATGGAACACCACCTCAGCCACCCTCTTCTCATTTGTTACCGTCTCACCATCGTCTATATCGTCCATAAGAGTCCCTCCTGCGGGCTTGCAAAGCGTCATCGTCCTTACGAGTGCAAGCGACACGCTCTTCACATTCTTCTTCGTCTCATTAGCGATACGGCAGCGCACATAACAGGGTTGACCAGCAACCCATGTGATGCGGTGCAAAGAAGCTGTAAGTGCGAGGGTCCCGTCACCACCCATAAAGAGTTTCTTCGCAGCACGAGCGAGTGTTGGGTCTGGTGCTGGAGCGAGAGTCATGACTGGATCGAGAGAAGGCCAGACTTCGCATTCTCGATAGAAGTGAGATATTGAGCGTTTGGAAGATACAGGGTCGACGACTTTTATGGAACTGCGGAATGGTCAGTATGAAGGCGTCAAGTAAATGAGCTAATACATACGCAATGACGATGTATTTTATCGTTGCCCCTGAACGACTGTTAAGCACCCCTCTCGGTTTGCCACCTGTACTGATAAGAGGTATTTTCATTGCAAACTTCACAGTATAGTCCCCTTCTCCGACAGAACCAAAGCCATCATCGTCAACAGGTAGCGAAAACAACCCATCGCAGCCATTAGAAATGTCCATCAACGGAGCAGAGACTTGGTAGAAGATACTACGTTCCTCGTTCTTTGGCGTAACTTCGAATCCAGCAATTCGGACCTTGCCTCTTCCAAGTTGGAGAAGGTCGTCCTTTCTCTTAGGACGAACACGGATGAGTAGAGTTCCAGATATATAACCGCCTTCAACTGCGACGTTGCTCTCCAAATCCATGTCGAGCGCAACGCGCACGCGCGAACGACCTTGTTCAAGCATGACTGCGTCCTGAGAGTCCTTGCTCGTAGACTTGGGTTTCATCTTGCTCGGTTGGGCGGCGATGACCGCGCCTGACTTCACCTTTGACGATGAACCGCCGAGAAGAGCCTTCAACTCCTCTGACCTTCGGATGGGTGAGGTCGGAGAAGTACTTAATAAAGTCCCATGTCGCGCAAGTCCTCGATCTAGAGATGCCGCGTTCGCATATTCAATCTTGAACCGGTTCACAGACTTCCTCCTCTGTCTCTTCGACGGAAAGTCAACATCACTGTCCTCCATAGGTGTGAAAGCTCCAGGCTCGATATACTTTCCTTCTTTGAATCTCGATCCTGGGCCCGTTATCGATTCGAGCTTGTCCATTTCGACCATCGACGCACCAACTTCCGCGAGTAGTAAGCCTTTCATCGCTTTCGAAGATTGCATCGTAACTGGAGCTTGAGTCTGCGTCTGCATCTGTGCTTGTAGCGTCTGTTGTCTTTTGTACGGGTGGGCGAGATGTGCAGGCCCCTTTGCAGTGCTGGTAGACTCCCCAGCTACGGTCTTCCGCCTACGAGCCCCATGGTCCGGCTTCGCTGAGTAACTAGTATTCTCTGGGTCGAGAGAGCGTTTGACGCCAGTCGATCGTGCGATCCGAGAGGGCGAGGAGGTGAGTGGGGCAATATAGCTGCGATCCTGACCATGCATGTCGATACCCAGACCGACTTCGGGATACATTGTTGTGTTTCAGTAAGACTTTATGCAGGATTAAATGGGAGAAAGAAAAGGGAGAAAACGAGAACGAGTGAAACAATGAACGTGGTAGGGTTACCAAAGAACCAGTACCCGTCGTATAAGTCTCAGAGTACCAGAGTATCCAGACTGGAGCTAATTAGCCACGAATTAAATCGTCCGTGGATTCACAGATACTGACAGCCTGATTATAGTTCAGACTGAAAGTGTGTCAAGCTCTCGTAGCAACGTAGGTCTGTGTCCGTTACTTGGCGCACGTAAGACTTTGTCTAGTGCCAGCACCAGAATAAGCCGAGATATGAATGAGTGAACAAGATCGGAATCAGCTCAGGATAGAATAGGAGCCCAGAAAGCCACGGAAATCTAGCCGAGGCCCAGGACGAACCACCTGGCCACATGGACCGAATAGCATTGAGAAACACTTTCATTGATTCTTCTCTGTCTAGTCATAATCGTCATGGCAAAAGCACAGACTCGTGGCATCCGTCTTGCCAATAGCAACATAGTAGTACTGTGACGTGGAGAAGCACAGTGTGGATGTTGAGAGGTGACAATATGAGAAAAGAACTTAGGTTTATTCCCACGGTGTAAGGTTATGCTTTTCTGGTTTAATTGATTGAGCCAATATTGGCTAACTTCGACCGCGACGAGTGTATATTCGGCACCGCTTCAAGTACTGGCAACTCTGTATTGAGACATCTGCTATTTTCAATCAAATCACAGTGTAAGTCGGCGGACTGGTCGCTGTGTCCCAGACAGTATGCGCGTCACGTGTTCCACGCGACTCAGACGCGTTCGACGCGTTGTGGCATTTTGATCGCTTTCCGTGCGTGCTCATCTTAACTCGACAACCACAAGTGCGATCGTGCAGTCCGCAATTCTTACAATTGACAACCAGAAACGACGTGATGCGCCGCGCACAATCGCTACGCTCAAACAACGCACGTAACTCTACTGCGTCTTTGACGGATGATCTCGGCGTGTTGAAAGAGCAGACGGAGGAGTCTGCGGAGGATGTTCTTAGAAAGCAATTGCTCACGGCGGAACGAGACAACGACAAGGTACGATATACTTTGTAGCGTGATCTAACCCAAATATACTAACTCAGTGTTGGTAAAGCTGAAAGCACAGATTCTTTCTTTACAAGATCAACTAAGTCAGCGGCCGCCTCTCGAACAAGTCCAGGAACTTGAACGCGAGTACAAGAACCTCGAACTGTTACTTACGGGGACCCAAAGGGAGAATGAACGGTGTATGGCTGAACTGGAAAGGTGTGCCGTTCTTTTATTCATGAAGACCTAGAACGGACTGCTGAGGTCGTTCGTTGTGCAGAGGAAAGAATAGAGAGAAGATACTCGAACGTGAGCTGACGAAACTCGCAGGAGAGAACTGGCAGGTTTGGACTTTCTTTGTCTGTTGCTCCTATCATCATTCGCCTGACTAACCCACCCAATTCTCTTTAGACGTCGCTTAATATCCCACCAAGCACGACCACAAGTGGGAATCGAAGCAGCCTTCTCCGTCCGGGTGATACGACATCTTTCTTCCTCCCTCAAGCGGAGAGTACTGCAGCAGTTGACGGAAACGTCCCCTTTGACGAGTCTTCCGCGTCTTCGTTCTTGGGCTCGCCGCCAGATGTTCAGCACTCAGGAACAGGTCTGGACTCGCCCTCAACACCTCGGCAAACCACGAGCGCGGCTCCTCAGAACCTAAGCACCGCACTCGCACATATCGCGCAAGTGCGCGCCTTGATACTCGGCATGTAAGTCTCTTTCCATAACTGTAACACTTCTGAGTCGGCGATTGGAAGCTTATTGAAATGGAATGTGCAATCTGCAGGGAGGAACGTATGCAAGCGCGCGAGAACAGATTGACACAAGAGGTCTCCAGAGCAGAGAGTGAGACGCGGAGGTTTGAAACAATAAGGAAAGAAGTAGATGGAGGAGTAGTTTGACTGAGTTTCTGCTCGTCATTGACTGTACACTATCTTGCATTTGTATACTACTCCTCATCTTTTCTACTCACAGTATAATCGATTGCAAGTGCCTGCAAAGGTTACTGTAGTATATTGTATATGAGAACGATGGGGAAAGAGACATACAAGTGTAATTCAGGTCTCAGAGATTAAATTTAATGACTTCAGTCATTCGGTATACTCGCTAGTATCTTATCACGTGTCAACTTCAGCGCGGATCCTTGAACGTGCGTGATCGGCCCGACGTCATAACATCGCCCAGGGTGCAAACAATTATTTTCTGTCTGTTTTTCTTTCCTCTGTTCAGTGCTCAACGACTGCGCTGGCTACGACTTCACGACTACTACTACAATTGTGCAGTCTTTTACTTTATCCCAGCCACCTTGAGATGGGCTATATATCCAAGCACGCTCTTCAGAACCTCAAGCAGTACCAGTACAAAGGTGTAGACAAGTTGAGTGACTAGGTCGCTCGCTCCAACGCCTACATGTCATCTCATGATTGGATACGAAGCACAGGTCGATATTATCCAGATATGTGCTTAATCCATTTTGGAATCAACTCGTGAAGCTATGGCCAAAGTCTGTCGCCCCGAACACTGTACGCTCATTTTCGCCCCTAAGTTAAAATGCAGACGAACTTTTCTGACCCTCAGATTAGATCACCTTGACGGGTCTTTCACTCGTGTTTATCAACTTTTTGATGTTGTTGTATTATGACCCTTACTATCTTACGGCCAAGCATGGTGTTGATATGCCGAGATGGATTTATTTCACGTAGGTCAAATTTGTCTCGGGTGCTTGAATGGGTACGTATGTAGCTGAATATGGTACAGGTGGGCTGCTGGACTGTTTATGTATCAGAGCCTTGATGCAATTGATGGGTGAGGCTGATGCTTCGGTACCGACTATTAGCTCGCTGATGAAAAGCACAGAAAACAAGCTCGACGAACACAAATGTCAGGGCCGTTAGGAGAGATGTTTGATCATGGTGAGTCTGCTAGATTTAGTGTGCATGTATTATTTCATTTCTTGACTCTTGTGCAGGTTGTGACGCCATTAACACGACGGTAGGCCTTTTTATTACAATCATTTTTCATTCCGATATTCATCTGCTATTGCTGAGCAGCTCGGAGCTATCCTTACTTGCTACGCACTCAACTTGGGACGTTCCTGGTGGACTATCGCCTCGCAAGTCGCTTCTCTGGCTAACTTCTATCTCACTACCTGGGAAGAATATCATACTGGTCAATTATTCCTTGGTGTCTTCTCTGGTCCAGTGGAAGGAATTTTAATGATTGTAGGACTGTTTATCGTCACCGGGTTTTATGGTAAGCTTCTCCGTATTTTATCTCGCAATTTTTCTCTCCTAGGGACTAGATAGAATGATCTCTCATCCTTCGAACTAACAAATTTATTTCTATAGGACCTGAATTTTGGGACCAAGGAATCCTGTCCATCCTCCATCTCGGAAGCCTCACCAATATTCTGCCCGACGTCCCACTGAATATAGTATTCCTGTACTTCGGTGGTGTTGGGCTGGCATTTAACATCTTCACATCGTACCGGAACGTCCACCAGCGCTTCCTCTCTTCTTCCTCCTCCAAACCTTCTCCGTCCTCTTTCACTCCACGTGGGTCCCAATCCTCGTTAATCCGTCCAACTCTCCGTCTCCTCCCTTTCCCCCTGGCAGTCTCCCTCCAACTCCTCTGGCTCTATGCACCTACACCAAAGCAGTCAATGATCTTATACTCCCCACTATTCGTCCCCTTCATGTGCGCTTGGGGCCTCCAGTTCGCACATCAAGTCGGACGGATGATCCTCGCACATCTAACGAAGAGGAAGGACATGCCGTTCTGGGAGTGGATGTGGATTTGGACAGTACTATGTGTGGTAGACGCAAACGCTGAGACTGCTTTAGGGAGGTACGTCCGTATTTTATATATATTTATTTTGGTCAAGCATCCGTCACTACTTTGACAATGAGTAGTATAAGGTAGAAGCTAACATCACTATAATACTTTACAGACCACCAATCATCCAAACAACATACACCCGCACAACCTTGCTCGTCCTCACGACCCTTCTCCTGTCATTCCTCACATATGCCCGCTTCGTATACGTCGTCATCAACGACATCACGAACTTTCTCGGCATTGCATGCTTCACGGTCCGCAAAAAGGACTCCAGCGGCGTGTGGCGTAGTTCTATACCCGAGTCACCTACAATGGAGGTTGACGCACAGACGAACGGAAATATCAACGCAAAGGGCAAAGTAGAGTAGACGTAGAAGTACGAATTTATGCGTGGACTTGTACGTGGCGTATGTAGATATTAGGTAGACTTGTTTTGATGCTTCTTATATGCTTTTTGTTGTTGTCGAATACACCCTTATACACACAAATATTCTAGTATAGCAATAACGAATCAATAGTCATTCAGACTTAGTAAGCGGAAACAACGGCGAATACATAATACATGGGCTACAAGACAAGACCGAGCCGGGGAACTATCGGAAAACTGTACGATACGGGTCCTACCATACCACATCATATCCATGGAACTATAAAGAGACATGGTAATAGACCACATCATACCCAGAGCAGCGAGCGCATGATTAATGCGCTTAGGTCCTCTCGCCTCTGAGGCGCCTGGCCAGAGCGAGATCCTTTGGTTGACTAAGAATATGAAAAAGGTATAAGCAAAGTTCAATAGCAGGGATGAGCAAAGTAAAACGTACATGGTGACACGCTTAGCGTGGATAGCAGCCAAGTTGGTGTCCTCAAAGAGGGAGACGAGGTAAGCCTCCGCAGCCTCCTGAAGGGCCATGACAGCGGACGACTGGAAGCGGAGGTCCGTCTAAACAAACAATAAAACACAAGACAAATATATGCATTAGTCATTGATACCAAAAAAGGAAGGTATCCAATATGACGAAGCCACCCGAAACGATACGAACCTTGAAGTCCTGCGCAATCTCACGGACGAGACGCTGGAAGGGGAGCTTCCGGATAAGGAGCTCAGTCGACTTCTGGTAACGACGAATTTCACGCAGGGCGACGGTACCCGGGCGGAAACGATGGGGCTTTTTGACACCACCGGTTGCGGGCTAGAGAAACGAAAAGGGGAGTCAGTTGTTGTTGATGAGTCACACGTGGGTTGAGGGCGAGCAACGTTTGGGGGGTGTTGAGAGTTGAGAGCATGTACTCACCGCTGCAGTCTTCCTGGCGGCCTTGGTTGCGAGTTGCTTACGCGGAGCCTTTCCTGTGGACAAAATACATGAGGTTGGGTACGACAAATGACGTTGAGGGGGACGATATACCTCCGGTGGACTTGCGGGCGGTTTGCTGTGGACGAGGATAACGATGAGCAACATTGACCGACAAGTGTCCATAAGAAATAAATACGAACCTTGGTGCGGGCCATTGAGGCTTGCTAGAATACTCGAGATGTGTTCTTTGAAGATGTGGGTGTTACTGCCGTCGAGCGGGACGATGTTGATGAGAGCGGGAGACAAGAGGCGACGGACGACGGGTGTCCAGATCAGGACGGGAGGCGTCGTGGGAACTGTATATCGCCACATATGGCAGGCATGTCACGTGTGACAACTGTCTTTCTGTCCGTCAGGCGGGCGATCGGCATTTACTTGCTCAGCTCCAGTGCTTGTGCTCCAGCCTGAGTCCCGCTGCTACTGTTACTGCCGCTGCCATCGCCTCTGCCATCCTGCCCTCGACCCACGCCCTTGCAGCTCTGCAGCCATGCCGGGCGAATACAGAGGAGAGTCCTTCCCGCCCTCCAAGCTCGGCGAATACAAAGTCGTCGACGAGATTGCAGAGGGCACCTTTGGCAAGGTCAAAAGTATGTCCACATCTGCCCCTGTTCCCGCACATCGCCCATGACGTCCTCTGATACCCGATATACACAGTGGCATACCACACCATCACTGGTCAGAAGGTAGCAATGAAGTTCCTATCAAAGGAGGCCATCATTGCATCGCGCACAAAGACCCGTGTCCAGCGCGAAGTCGACTACATGCGCATGCTCCGTCACCCCCACATCATCAAGCTCTACGAGGTCATCTCCACTCCAACAGATATCATCATCGTCCTCGAGTATGCAGGTGGTGAGCTTTTCAAGTACATCGTCGACAAGGGCCGCATGCCCGAGTCCCAAGCACGCCGCTTCTTCCAGCAGATGATCTCCGGCATAGATTACAGCCACCGCTTGAAGATCGTTCATCGCGACCTCAAGCCAGAGAACATCCTCCTCGATGACGATCTCAATGTCAAGATCGCTGACTTTGGTCTCTCCAACGAGATCAAGGACGGTGATTTCCTCAAAACGAGTTGCGGAAGTCCGAATTATGCGGCTCCTGAAGTTATTCGAGGAGCGCTCTATACAGGACCAGAAGTCGATGTCTGGAGCAGTGGTGTCATTCTCTATGTAATGCTTTGCGGAAGACTACCTTTCGAAAATGAGGACGTCGGCCGGTTATTCCAACAAATTGCAGAGGGTGTTTATTTCCTTCCCAACTACCTGTCTCATGATGCACGTTCGCTCATCAACGGCATGCTCCACGTCGACCCCGTAAAACGTTTGACCATCTCCGATATCATGGCCCATCCATGGTTCACACCCGATTTGCCCCGCTATCTCACCCCGCTCCCTCCCCCACCTGGGCCGGTTCTCGGCACGCTCTCCTCGCTAGTTGCCCCACCGAAGCAACTTGACTTCGAAATAATTGAGGGTCTAGGCCGCATGGAAGAAGACATCGTCGAAGAACTTGCTGCGCGTATGGAAGGTGTCAGCGTGGATGAAGTATGGGAGGCGCTTCGTCGGGAAGATGGACCGCAGGGGAATGCCGTCAAGGTTGCGTATCTGCTTCTTCGCGATAAGCGACGTAAGGGAAGGGACCTGGCAGAGTTTGAGGATCAAGAGCGTGAAGCACAGTTGGCAGCTTTAGATGTAAGTTCTGTCTCTAATCATTCGCTGTGACGTGTGCTTGTGTGCTAATCTTGATTTTCGATGTAGCCTCGGAATATGCTTTCCCCAAATGCACTCTCGCCAAGTGGGAATCCTGAGAATGAGCCAAACCCATTCGAGTCGGAGTTTATCGGAGATGAGGAAGAACTGGACGACGAAGAAGGGATGGTGGACTTCTCGACTCCCGCGGGACCGCATACCGAGGAGAGTAACTTTGCTGTCTTAAACAGTTCTTTACCAGGTGGTGAACAAGGACGGGAAGCCCAACAGCCGCATCATCTTGCGAGCTATGCAACAGCGAGACTTGGTGGTAGCAGAGTTGCTGCGAAGGAAAAGAAGCAGCATCGCACGCGATGGCATTTTGGGATCAGGAGCAGGAGTCCGCCTATGGAGGTCATGTCCGCTATCTATGCTTCTCTGAAAACACTCGGGATGGAGTGGAAAGAGAAGAAAGATCTCGGAGGACTGTGCGCGACACATCCGCGTGCGAAGGGCAACATCAACAGTGAATCTTCTGGACATAATCAAGCGCAGATTGAACGAGCGAGAGAATGGGACGGACATGGTGGACGTGTTGATCTTCGTGCGGCATCTTCCATCTACTTCGTCGAAACACGCGCACGGCAAGATGATACCGTCGTATTAATGAACATCCAGCTTTATTACGTCGACGGGGATAATTACCTCGTTGATTTCCATCACAAAAAATCTTATCGCGCGTCAACGGAGCCTGGAGCGGGGCGGTTCGACGCAGCGAAGCCTATCGCACCGAGCGGGAGTGCGGGAGGCGGCGGAGGGAGCGGATGTCCATCGGAAAGCGGGAGTATGTATCCGTCTGCGGAATTGCAGGCGAAGGAAGAGAGCGTAGTTTCCCCGTATGTGTTTATGGATGTTGCATGTAAGTTGATTTTGGACCTCGCGGGCGGGGCAGACGACGCACGATGAGGGCGACGATATTAAGGTGGCGGACGTTTTGTCCATGTTCTTCCTCTTCCTCTTCTCATTTGTTCCGATGTTTCTTTCCTTCGTGCTTCACGCATTTGCTTTGACTGTGACTGATTTGTCTCGTGCTGTCCGTCTAATATTCCCTCTTCGCATTCTGATTCTCTCACCCTTACATTTTGTCTGGCTCTTTGAGATTTCGACTTCTGATACGTACTGTATGACAACTTATCCTTTTATTCATGTTATTTTTATACATGTACAGTAGATCCCCGCAGCTACGTCCATGTTTGTGATTGTGCTTGTGCCTGTATTTTATGGAATGGCATCGTTTAGACATTTTCCCTTACAATCATCGAAAGTCTCATTCGGAATCAGCTGAGTTGGAATCGGAGTTGGAGGGCATGTATACTTCGGGCTACACGTAAAAGCTTAGAAGACAGCAATATCTAGTACTCCGTGCATCTACACAGTCGGGGGGACCAGGGAAGAAATAGAAGAATATCTCCAAACATGCGATGCATGTTTTATTTTATTCTGTTCTCGTCATCACAGTACTGTATGGTAATTACTGTTCACCATCAGTATCCGCTTGTTTGTCTTCTAGACGTTTTAACCTCTTCTTTAAGTCGCTGTTCTCTTCTTCCAACTCGTTCAGCCTGCTCACAATGTCATACTGAGCTGAGCCAAGTATATCAATAGTTTTCAGTGCTCTTATTTGCATTTCTATTGCTAGTGTTCCTATAAAGCTTTTGTCTTTTGTATCCCTTGAAATTAGTTGCCAGTGTTCGCTGGCAAGCAGTGGTGACAGAGCTTGGTTTGTGTATTGCGTTAATGAGTCCTAGTGCTCCGCGCGTAGCGTATACGCTTA